CTAATATGCTATAATGCACCGCACGTGCAACAAGCACACGGGCAAGCACATTAAACGTGCCGATGAAAAATATTGGGGTAAAAAACAACTTCCTATCAAAACGTCAGTTAGAAAAGAAACAAAAAAGGTAACAAGAGACTCTTGAATTAAATTATTTCCTGTTAAAGCATGCAAATAATGGCCACAAACCTCGAAGTACATCGGGGAAGGACTTACGCCGCGCCATCTTTGAATTTTATGTTTGTTCCCAGTAGCCGAAATAAACACGCGGTCGCCAAATGTTGCGCGCAACTTGGTGAAGTCGGGAAATGCAGGGTGGTAGGGTGTGAGGAGGGTGGGGGGGGGGGGGGGGCCCCTGGGGGAAATGCTTCCTTCTTTTTGCGGTCTTTTGTGATAGCCTAGCCTCCCCCGCAGACGTTTTTAGGGGAGATCTTCCCTAAAAACGTTTGCGGGGGAGGCTAGTGATAGCCGGAAAACCCTAGAAAAAATGGCCCAACCAAGCCCACCTGTCTCTGTCTTTTCCTTCCTCTCGTCTCGCGTGTCTCGCGCTTGCTCGCGCCCCAAAACCCGTCTGACCACAGCGTTATACCTGCCAACTCTCACGCCTTAGGCGTGAGTCTCACGCCTGCGGGTTGAAAACGTCGATCTCACGCCCGCTCACGCCTGCGGACCAATTTCTCACGCCTGATTGAAAAATGTGAGTTGTTGCCGTCTTGCTTGACACAATTTCCAAAAATATGTTAACTCAGACCCATGCAAGGAACGAAAACCATGTGTAAAATGAATAAATGACAATACCTTCCTCGCGATCTCTGATTTTTTGGATAAGCGTTTTCCTGATAACTTCGCCTTCGGCAGACTTCGGACGTCTTCGGAAGACTTCGGACGTCTTCGGGAATCTTCGGAAATGATCGTGTCGTTTTCAAAAATCCCAGCACTCCCAGGATAAAAATCTCACGCCTACATCTCAGAAAAAGTTGGCAGGTATACAGCGTGTCATGATTAGCTGGAGTCTTTGTTATCAATGTCTATCTGCAAGAAGTCTCCCTCGCAGCCATTTTTGTCTCCTGAATGATAACCTGAGATCAGACTCAGTTTTCGTTTCGCTTTGTAATAACATTCCGGCGGGCAAACCGAAAAGAAAACAGAGCCTGATACAAACCTTCTACGAAACGTATGCCGCCCACTTTTTTGATTGATTGACATTTGCCGAATCAGCCAACCAAAATTATTTGCGTTGCTTGTTTTTCTAATATGCAAATTTTTCATGCGTGGGAAAAATGCAGACTGGCTGACTTAAAAAATAGCTTTTATCTTTTGATTTTTTTCGTCTAAAAATAAAACAGTCAGCACAATCACATTTAACTTCTTCAGAGATTAAAGGAGATCTCAAAGGTTATTTCTGTTGGTGTAGAAGGTAAAAAGCTTTCGAAAAGACAGCGACACGATGTTCTACTGTCTTGTTTTATTATTTTGGCTAGGCGCGCTCGAATTTAAAATACAGAAATTTCTATTTTTCTGTTGCCTTAATATTTTCATGAATTAAAAATATGAATTTTCTGAATTTCCATGGCAGATATTGAGGCATATTTTCCTACCATAAGAACATAAAACAATAAAAAAGACAGGAAAATCGATCCTTCTCTCCGCCGACAGCCAATCATTTACGAAAACAACCACGCGAGGAATAAGCGCTTTCAACTTCCGGCGTTTCCGACAGCCAATCAGATTTGTGGCATTGTTCCAACAGCCAATCAGTGTTACGGCCAAAATCTGGCCGTAACGAGCACAAACGTGAGAGAGTTTGTATCAGGCCCAATTTAAGCGGTAGCCGTTAGAGAGAATGTATGAGAACCGCTAAAATTGGGCCTGATTTCAGGTTACCTGAATGAAGGTTGCGGTAGTGCCAAGTAGTGCCAAATTGAACATTTTATTTTATTAACTGGGCTGCCTGTGGCAAGCCTAGTTCATAAAATAATTTTCTCTAGGGAGGGCGTGGGGGCGGTATTCCCTAATTTGCTCAAGTTAATGAAGGGAAATCAGACACTAGCTCTATCAAGTTTGGAGTACCACAAGGGTCAATCTTAGGACCCAAACTGTTCTCCCTTTATGTCAATGACTTTCCTGAATCTGTAACCTCGGGAGAACTTTATATGTTTGCTGATGATACTACCATATTTACCATAAGTGATAATATTGATACTATAATTAAGGCCATGCAAGTTATACTAGATCAAGTTCTTAGTTGGTATGGTGCTAACAGATTGATTGCTCATGAAACTAAGTCAGAAGCCTTATTATTATCTAAACAAAGATTCATTGGTCCATTGTTGCCTTTGAAGTATGGTGAAAAATTCATTGAATTAAAATCATCATGTAAATGTCTAGGAGTAACTATAGACAGTAATCTTTCTTGGCAAGAACACACTAAAAGTCTGTTAAAATCTTTTAATAAGAAAATAGCAGTCCTCAGAAGAATTAAATTCTTGCCATCATCCATTCTACAGACCATTTATTTTAGGACTGCACTTCCAAGTGTCTTATACGGAATACTAGTATGGGGTTCCTGCTCACCTGCACTAATGGATGATCTAATCTTGAGCGTGCTCATATACGAGCTTCTAAACTTATTTTTAAACTTTCAAGGAATTCAAATGCTGATCAATTAAACAAATTGAAAGGCTGGAACAATTTATCATTTTACTATACTAAGAGACTGTTAGTAGAAGCGTATAAATCCTACTATAGATGCAATACCAATGTTTTAAATGATCTAGTAATGTTAAAACAATCATCTCACTGCCTGAGGAAATCAATGAATATTGAATTTCCAAGTCCTAAATCAGAAATTGGCAGGCTGACTTTTAAGCATCGAGCTGCCATTGCTTGGAACTCGCTTCCTGATTCGATTAAAAAGTCTTCTAGCTTAAAATGTTTTAAAAAAAGACTTAGATCTAGCAAGGACTTAATTAATTCTAAGCTATAACAAGGAATCTTCCATGATAAGAAATATAGGAATGAGGAATTTCTTTATTAATCTTATTTATATTTGTATTGTTATTATTATTTATTATTTAACTTCTGTTGATTTTCTATTTATTCACATGTATATACTTTAGTTTTTTTAACAAGTAGATGGGCAGGTCCACATCAGGACTTCAGTCTTGCGTATTCTGTAACCTGCGTTACCAAATAAACTATGTATGTATGTATGTATGTATGTATGTATGTACAAGAAACCCAAATGATGTGAGGAAACCGTTGAAGACACAATGTTGTAAGGAAATACGTTGAAAAAACAGCTAGGGCTAAGCAAGACCGTGCAAAGTAAAGGGAGATGTCTTACGAAGAGCAATGCCTTCTGCTGAGGTGCCACTTAATCTGATCGCAAAACTTAACTATCCTTAGTTGAGTGTTACAAGAGATCCATGGCGTCCAGAATCGATCGTCTGGGTTTTAGCTCTGGCCAGCAATTTTTGGAAAATTTCAAGATCTTTCCGGCACGATTTCAAGGCGGTAAGATATTTCAAAATTAAGGTCTTGCAGGAAGGATTTTGAAAATTCAGGATCTTGCCGGTAAGATTAAGAAAAGTTCAAGCTCTTGAAAGCAAGATTTAAGGACTGGAGGCACAATTTCGTCATACTCAAATTGCGCTTTCGTTAGCTGACATAGCTTAAATTCGTCAAGTGACCAAACGCTGTTCGCTAGTAAAATAGAAGAACACACCAAAACTGTCGCTTTTAGGGTGTTTTAGGAGAAATAATAAAGGATTATAAACGGAGGGGCTTATACCCGAGGGGGCTTTAATACATGTAATCGGAAAGGAAAAAACGTTTCCAAACAAGCTACAGCAGTGCTAATCAAAGTACTTTTTGTATCAACTGGATTTTTATAAAGATTTAAAATATAACTAAGGTTGGGAATCATTTAGGGAACAACGCTTCGGAAGTGAGCTGAAAAATAAAAGGAAACAAACGACTATCGCACACAGAGTGAAAAGCCTTTATTTTACAAACGTCGATCGTTTTCTTTCAGAACAACACATAACACTGATCATCATGTAAAAATGTCTTGTTTCCAGTACTGATCATAATTCCAGACCTTTAAGAAAAACAACAAGGGTTACTTTTAAAAACCCGTGGCTGATTACATCAGTATAGTAGGAAATATAAGGCACCACATAAAAATTTTGGGTTCTCCCCGATCGACTCTCGTGTCCTGTCCGACTAAGTGATGGTGTGTGGTTTATACGGGTTTGGTACGACAAACAAACGACACTGAGAAGATTTTAAAGCCTTTTTGGGAATGTCAATTAAATTCTGGAAGAGCCAAATACGATGAACTGATCATGCGCCAACGACTTAGTGTTTTCTGTAAAATATCTGTTCGGAGAAGCAAATATTTCCTATAATATTCTCTTACTACTTAAAGACGGATAAACATTTCTAGATGACCGTCCTAATCAAGTACAATTTCCGAAGCTCAATTTATAAATTCCCTAAGTTTAATTTTTTTCACATTTCACTGCCGGCCAGGTTAGGCTTTTTTTTTTCGTAGAAAAAGGAAACCTAAAATTTTAGGATTCAAAACTGTGACGAAGAGAGGGATCAGAAAAATTATCACTTTCGTGATACGTTAGCTTTCATCTAAGATTGTTGGATTACTAAATCCGAAGGCCTTGTAATTTCGAAAAGATTCGATTTCCCCTAAGATGACCGAAAAGATGCAAATTTTTTAGAGTCTCTTTGAATGCATTTCTAGAGATCCAAAAGTACCCTGGATAGCCTAAAACGTGTTTCTAATGTATGTAGGAGGAATTCAAACCTTTGTTAAGTGCCCTTGTGAATTAAAGAGCTTAAGACCTAGTGACGACGAGGTTTTTGAGACAAATCAATGACCACACCCTGCATTGTCGGGGATCGGAAGGAAAAAGCGCAGGTAAAACCTGAGCTTTTTTGAACATTTTGTGTAAGGAGTCTGAGGAAACAAACCTTATTTTTTAAGGTGGGCGGTCGAGTTCCAATGCCTCCAGTCTGTTCCAGTCAAAGCCGTGAAAGAAAGCATGACCTCTGATCCAGGGGTAATCGCCTCCTTTATACCCGAGACGGTCTTGCGGATATTTCTCTAGTAACTGAAAACATCCAAAAAATGGATATGTCTTGTAATATCGGTATTTATTCTCAACTCAGAGATCTTTGTTTATTGATCATGAAATGCTACGTCTTTATGCTACTTCGTAACAGAAGTTAACGTTGACCTAGTTTTAGTCTAGTCATATTTGTTCTTCACTCATTCGAACATAAAAAAGATTTCTCTACCCTTCAATATACCTGAATCCTAAAAAAGGAAACCCTTTCTGGCGAAGCCTTTCCGTATAATCCGTTATGGGGAGCAGTTACCCCGGGAGTAGGGAGTCAATCTTTGGATTTTTTCGCTAAGTCTTGCCTCTATTGTTATCGACTGGCAATCAATAATTTGGGTACATGTAAAAAATGAAGGGAATATAACCTTTCATGTATGATTTATGTATTTGACACTTACGTGTAAGAATAATTCAGTGGCGTCAATGGACAGCTCAGACATTGTTTTTTTGTCCGGTTTCTGTGGGTAGTCATATACGATCAAATCAAATAACTCATCCTCCGATTCAGCATCAAACGGCATCTAAAATGTAAACACAAAGGATAACATTGTCAACTAAGTAGGTTACCATCATCATAGTCTAAGTTCAGTTTCACCTTTTTCGTGTTAAGAACAAAATAACTGAAATAACATTTGAAATACAAACCATTCCAGTGAGCATTGTAAACACCATGACTCCAAGAGCCCACCAATCCACGCATGCGTCGTATGGGTCCTGTAAAATAATCTGCAACAAATAACACCTTGCAATAAGCTAACATCAGCACGAGAAGATGTTATTTCCTGAAAACAAGCCGAAATTCTCCTAAGCGAAAGATCTTACTACAAGGTTTGTAATTTTTCAACGAGTGGATCATGTCACGTATTGTTAGCTTTGTGGAAACTGAACATGCAGCTCTTCCTTCTTCCAGTGTAGGTAACATTAGTATATATGTTACAGGTCAAAATTATATTCACGTTAAATTTATTCAACGTAGGTTGGATCCCTATTTCCTTTGTTTCCTAGCCCTAATTATTCATTGAATTAGGGCGAGATACAAAGAAAATTGAGATTTAACCAAGCTAGGTCAAAGCAAAATCCCGGTCTGGTCTGGAATCGAGTGTGGTTTTCGAAGGAACTGCAGCAGCGTAAGAACGTATTTATCGTTTCAATTCCAAATGCAATGAGTAAGAAAGAAAGAGAATATGCGAATTCGAAATGAATGAAGAATTTGTTTGTTTGCGCTCACATCTAAGTTATTATAACATAATTTCCGCCTAAAGACCAGGTCTGAAAACGAGTAGGGATTTTGGAGGTCTGGTCTGAAAACAGGAGCGGAAAATAACACTTTTTACTCTGAAATCGGGTCAGGATTTGGAGAACAGGGCTGCACACCCCCACCAAGAATTTCCAGGAGTATCCCCGCCCCCCTCCCCCGGGATCAAAATTAACCCGAAACCAAATTTGACCTGTAACATATATATCTCGTACAAGAAAACACCATATTTAAAAGCCCGTAGAAAGATTTGTTTTAGCGTTAATTATCAGCGCTGATTCAGTAAGTAAAAAGCAGAAACTACCCTAACAGGATATAATTCAGCTGTCCTTGTTACAGCCCTATCAAATTTTTCAACGTATATTTTGGATGATGGTTCTGAAATGTGTCCTAGATCTGGGATAAAATAGATATTGACCAAGCAGCTACACGAGATACTGATTTAGACACTTGGTTCACAGGGCTTAAGGGGGCATTATGGTTGTGTTTTTGGAAAAATGATGTTGATATAGGGTAGAATGGGTTAGTCTGCTAATGGGATCAGAGGCACCTTGTTATGGCGGTGGACTCTGGTAATTGTCTACTAATTGTTCACTTTATATTTTAGTTTTTAACAACCCCCAAATCCAATATTTTCCCATCTCCCCAAAATTTTAAACATCTTCCCCCCTAAATAATGCTTTTAACCATACTCGTCTCCCTTAACTAACGCTACAGTTCCATGGTTTACCTCAGGAGCCATGTAACGAGGTGTCCCGATAATTTCTGCGTTGTTAATCTTTTCCTGTTTAACTGGGTCGATGATAGCGGACAGTCCGAAATCGCTAATTTTGATGTCCCCTTTTTTGGTCAGCAAAATGTTTTCAGGTTTCAAGTCACTGTCATACGATGAAAACAAATTACACAAATATTCAAGACACTGATTTATAAGTAAACTGAGCCAAAAGTGGTAAGACATAATCTTCGAGGAAAAGGGGCAAATAGCAGCATCATTCGTATAAAGTTAACTTTCTTCACCCATGCAAGGACTATACAGAACGCTGAGCCCGGTCACACTCTCCTCTGCAAAGGATCCCGCCGGGTATCCTGATAAAAATAGCAATAATCGAAAAATAGAAAGCCCGCAGGGAACGATGGGAAGAGGGAAAAGCGGAAGTGAGGCCTTTCTTCTCTCTTTCCCCTTCCCATCGTCCCCCGCTCGCTTTCTGTTTCTCTCTCTCCAGTCCTCCCTACAATACCAAGAGGCCTCTGCGGAGGAGAGAGGCCCTGTCATGATAGACAATGATCTAGCAAACGATTACCTACTTTTTACAGTCATGTGATTTACGGCTGAGAAGGTCCGACGGTATAAATTCATTGTTTGTTTGTTTGTTTTTTTATCTTTGCCATATAAATACGCAAGGGATTGAAATCACCCACCAAGTGTGGATTTCAGCTACTTTTCATATTTGTACGCACCTGTGAATGACACCTTTTTGGTGCAAATATTGCAAGCCGGTGATGATTTCAGTTGTGTAAAACCTAAAACAAACGACGAGTAATAAGATGTTTTAGGTAAAACATGTTTGTATACTACGTTTCACTACTGAGCAAGATTAAATGACCTCCATGCACCATCTAGGTAGGTCACACTTAATTTTTGAAGATGAATCTTTAATATCCAAAGGTCTAAACGAAATTTAGGAATCTTAAATGGATGGAACTGTATCAACTTTAACTGTATTATAAGGATTAAAGGTTCCTCATATTATACACTTGCTCAAATTTTTGCTGAATTCCAATCATGGGTTTGGTTAAGCCTGGGAGGAGAAACAATATTTTGTCCTTAGTCTCATACACAGCCGTTTTTGTTTCGATGTTCACACAACAGGAACACGAAACAAACTGCGCAGCATACTACTTCCTCCATACTTCTGTTCCTCTAAAATATGTTGACTCCTTCACCAGACTAAAACGAACCCATTCAATTGATTGGTATGGAATTGAAAAAATAATAAACAAGTGTAAAATATAAGGAGCCCATACCACTGACAATAAAAACTGACCACATTTTCGTCCATTTAAGGTTCCAAAAATGTGTTTAGACCTCTGGTCAAATTCATCTATGGAAGTTAGGCGTGGTCCACAGGGGTAGTCCATGGACCGGGTCCACGAAGCGGTCCATCGACTTGGTCCATAGGTGGTACATTTGTGTACGTCCGCGTATGTGAGGTGAAGGCCTGAAGTTTCCATCACTTACTTTGACAGAATTATTTTGTTTACTGGTTTTTGCATCCTCAGTTCAATTTTAAGGTTACATGTATTGAGTAGAACGCAATTGATAGAACCAGTCGTTATTAAAAGATGAGTAGGTCAAGAATAATTTACGATGATTTCGAGCCAGTACTAATGGAACGTGTCTTACTGAAGTGTTATTAAGTATTCGGTTTAAAAGCAAAACCTGACCAAATGTGTTAAATTCTGTCCTATTGTCTTTCATTGTCACGTTATAGACTGTTTTATTAACAGTTGCTCGGTATGATTACCTAGTTCGATTTTCGCTGAGCCATCCATTCTCATCCAATTCAGTGAAAAGGTCTCCTCCTTCAACGAACTCTAGTATAATGAAATGACCAGGGTACTATAATATGAAAATGCAAAGAAGCTGTTAGTTGACCCATAACATACTATTTTCTTTTTGGGTTATAGTGAACAAAATTGAGAAAGATAATAAGGCACAGAGAGAAACGTCCAGTGGAGCATATAAAGGTAAAAGGTAAAGGCGCACACGACCCAAAGACCCACACGGTCGGAGCTTATACCGGTTTCCGTAGCATGAAGCAAGCCTAGGAGTATTGCTACTCCCCCCTGGACGGGATGCTAGTCCATGGCAGGGTTCCCCCCCAGCGGTATGTTGCCGGTACCCATTCATACACCTGGGTGAAGAGAGACAAAGTAAACTAAAGTTCCTCAGTTGTCTTGGGAAATTACGCGACTGGCGAGGCTTGAACCCCGGACCTTCAGAAAAAGAGTTTGAGGAATTAAACGCTCGGCCACAAACGCCCCACTCAAGTCTTACACCACAGGTATAATTCACAATCTTTCGAAGGTTTGTAGTCCCCTGTTTTCCTGCAAGTTTGTCAAGATGTCGGTATGCTTTAAATGTAATTGGCCGGCCATTTTTTCCACATGGGCGGACGGGCGGGAGTGGGAGTTTAACGCGGAGGTACAAGAAGTAAAAATGTTTTGTACAATTTTTAAAAGTATCATACCGGATTCTTAACCTCTTCACAAAGCCTTGTTAAGAAAAGGACTGGACGAGGCTAAGCTCAATACTTTCTCTTCCACACTGCTTGGGTCAGGTTCAATTATCTGCTTAACCGCGTATTGCCTCTTGGTGCGACGGTTCTCACAAAGACGAACCTATAAAAACGTTGACAGATATTTTGGAATAGGACACGCTTTCAGATGGAGCGGTTGATAGGCGGGGTATTAAAACCGGCCTTTTTAGTTCAAACGCAGTGCGTTTCAAAGAACTTCAAGTTACTTCCTTACTCGAAAAATAGCCCCAGATATCATCCACTTGTTGGAGAAAGAAGGAATTACACAGTGTGTATATCATATTCACCTTTGATCGCTTATTTGTTAATTAAATGGGCGTACACTTAGCAAAATCGAAAAAAAAACAAAGCATTTCAACTTCTTTAACGGAGTTTTGAAATTAATAAATAGATAATTACTTATTTAATTAATTGATCAACTAATTGATAAATCGCTCGTTTTTTGACCACGAGATACTCGCCACTGTAGGGCGGTGATCCGCCGAAAGTTACTCTAAATTTTGTGAAAATTAATATTACGAAATATTTGTGATTATTGTTTGATCCTTATAACAGTCTCTCACCTTTCCAAACGCTCCCTCACCAATCATCTTGATGGCTTGAAGATTATACAGTGAGATCGACTTTCTTTGTTTCTTTGTCTTAATGTCCTCTAACTGCTCTTCTGATCTTCTACGTTTAACGGGGCACTAGTCAATCAAGAGGAATAAAATAAGTTATAATCAGACTATGAAATGAGTATTGAACACGACTTGGCATTTCACTATATATAACTTGAAAGTGTGTAGTTTTATAAAGTGAAACTTCAAAATGGGAGAGAATAGATTTATAACTGATATCGACTGCTTTCATAATTATTTTATTTACTTTCTTGCATTTTATTTGTTTACATGGACCGTCAAGTTCCAGAAACCTCATAAATATTAAAGAAAAAAATCAATATTTCTAAGCCTCATTCAAGACAGGCCCACACACAGTCAATAATCCAATAAGGGAGTTAATGAATGGGACAAAAACTTGTTTTCAAGAATAACTTAAAGTGGGTTGTTCATAACATGCAGTAAACATAAGCTTACTTTTTGACTTTCCTGTTCTATTTTCACTGGCGCTTTTTCCGTTAATTCTTGAATTTTAATTTCACCTGTTGCAACTTCTCTGATAATAAAAACAGACACAACACAATTAGCTACAGATCATATTTCATTTAAAATAGCTTTAAGTTTCAAATACAAAATTTGATGCACTAGAAATGTCTTGTAATCTCACTGACAAAGTAAAAACCCTGGAAATTTAATTCGGTTATCAGTTACTTGCTTGCGCGAGGCAGCACGCGCGCGCACTCCTTTTTCACGCCAGAGCTAGCCTCGTCCCTAAGTCAGTTCGCGCTATCCAAATAAAACGAGGAGGCTTGGAACAGAGCGCGATCTTCTGACGACTGGGAACGAGTCTGCGTCTTAGCTGCTGACCAACATGAAGGCAGGCTCTTAGAACCACTGCGTTCCTTTAGGTCAGCAGTAAGATTATTACAAACGGTTGCCATGGACGATTTGTTTTGTTTTCGAAAACAGACAACTTACAGTAAATATCAAAAAGTAAAAAATTACGAAAGTTACACAACCTTTTGACATAAAAAACAAGTTTCAAAATACTGCTTCAGGAAAAGTTCTCCTTCTTGTGTTTAAACGTTTTAGTAGCTTGTCCTCCTTGCATTATCCTTTTATTGAAACTAATCAAAAGGCGCCTCATTTCAGTTGGCCTTGAAACTGCTTTTAACTCTAACCGCGAAAACAGGATTCTTTGTCGTCAAAAGAAAAGCGAGAAGATACTTTCTTACCTTTTCCACTACATTTTCCTTTAAAATACTGAAAAACGCTTTGTAACATATAAAAGGAAAAAACGAAGGGCCCTATAACTGGACCGGCCTTCATTGCTGATCTGTACGTAGCATTCAACGAAAGATCTGCATACTGAAAGATCCAACTCTGTTCTTTGAAATGGCGTCATAATAGACATTTACCGTGCGCGAGCAAAAGAACTTCTGTCCCAAAGCTGACGCACAGAAAACGTTTACTTCATTTTGTGAGTGTTGTTATTACTTAAGGTCTTAAGTTTTTTCCCCAAAAATCTCTTCTTACCTGTGTCTTGTAATCTCATTGACAAAGTGTACAGGTCTTATGCATAGCAGAGGGGAGGTGAGGTATGGCAGTGCGTCTTGTTTTCAGCAGTCTCTAGGCACTCTGCCGCTGAGGACTTTTCTTTATGAGCACGATCTCTTGCAGAACATTCTTGGCAGCGGGGAGCGATGGGAGGGCGGTTGTTTCCGGTCACGCTTGCGAGTAACAGCTGTTTGCCTCTTGTCTGTGGGAAGTTTTGGATCGAGTGATTTCTGATTTATAGTCATCTTCCTTGATAGCGGACGCTGTAGGGACCTCGATTGGCGAGAGTCCGTAATGGCAGGAGTTTCTTTTAGACAAATGTCTGGCCGGGTTGTTCAAAGCAGGGTTGAGATAACCCATGGTTAGTGCGAAATATACCGGAATTGCTGATTGGATGCTCTGAAAGTAAAGGGAAAATTATCCAAGAAAATGCTGTAAAAAACAAGTGAGAAAAAACCGAGTCTGGGTTGACCTTTCAGCACCATTCAACTTATTTTCAGCCACTACACTTTTGACTTCATCTTTGACGTGCGTCAAAGGTAAAGTCAAAGTTACCAGCATATTTGACAACGACTTTGATAAGGGTTAAAGGAATAGCAAAGCATTGATTCATTTGACTTCATCTTTGACGCGCGTCAAAGGAGAAGTCCAAGTTGTTACCAATTTGACTTCACCTTTACCGAGGTCAAAGGAGTAAGCAAAGAGGTTATATGTTTGGCGACATCTTTGACGCGCGTCAAAGGTGAAGTCAAAGCCAATACCATATTTGACTTAACTTTTGACGCGTGTCAAAAGTGCAGTAAATCCAATTTTTCGTCCCGTGTTCAGCAATTTAAGACTCGCTTCTTTTTGGACAAGGCTCTGAATAAAACAATGAACTTTTGCAACCAATCCTTTAAAAGGGTTTCTCAGGTAAAACAATTTCTGCAGAATCTATGGTTACATCAACAAAACGAAATCCGTTAAAATAGTCGTAACTCCAAGAACATGATGACCGCTCTATTTACAAAAATACGTTTCATCATGCGAAAAGTAGTGTTAGAGGTCTGGATTTTAGTGAATATGATAAATCACTGGACATTTACTGACATGTTCACTTTAGCGCCAAGTTAAGGGAGATGACCTTGCATTCTAACTTTTAAATACGTGAACAAAATCCTAAGGTGTCACCATTTAAATGAAACCTCAGCTCTGATCTCTTTGGCTGAACGCTTATACATAGGATTAAAAAAAAGAAATGACAGTTTTTGCTACAATTTGAACATTGGCCGCTGTTAGGAGTTAGGAGTGAAAGTGTAACTTAGGTCTGTGCCTAAAAGGATCACTCCGTCTCGCGTAAAGAGAAACAAGGGAGTTTAAGAGGACACTACGGCGACGGCAACGAGAACGTCAAAAAGTAATTGGTTGGCAAAACAGCAACTCTGCACGTGCATCACGCTTTTTTGTACATTTCTTGGCCGTAACTGTACGACTTCGACTTGAATCAGGGAGTTTAAGCGACGACGACGACGAAGACGACGGCAGTAAAAACGTCGCTTAAAAAGTGAATTTGCTTTGTTTCAAACTTAATCGCGTCTATTTGGACCGGCTCATTATGTCAAATGCAGGCGACCTTTCCTGCATGGAGTTGAATTCTTAAGTATATTATCCAGGTTCAAAAAGAGAAAGGAGAATTCGTCGTCGTATTTCCTCGTCCTCGGCCATAAAACGTCGCATTTGGAGGTTTCGCGTCGTAGTCGAGCAGTGGCCGTCAAAGAAATGTACTAAAATGCGTGATGCACGTGCAGAACTGTTGTTTTGCTGATAAAATCAATTGTTTTTGAAGTTGTCGTTGTGGTCGCCGTCGTACTTGCTTAAGCTCTCTATTGCCTAATTTCACGTTTTATCGACACCGTGAACATACCAAGACGAATCTCGATAAAGGCGATGTTCCACGAGACAACGACGATTTTAGTGCAGCACAGCGTTGCAAGGTTGGTACAGTGTTGCAACCATGCGGAACAAAGTCGCAACAATGTCGCAACGCTGTGTTGCGCTAAAAATCGTGGTTGCAAATCGTCCCGTGTAACATTACCTGTACTCTTTTAAACTTAAATATTTTTCTTAAGAATTCAACTCCAGGAGAGTTCGCCTACCAGGGCTTTTAGCCAATTTTTCGGATGGGAAAATATATTTTTTAACTTTGGTTACCCAGATCTGTCACTTGCCACACAAACAAGGTTTAGTATTCTTACAATACTGAACACCGACAAACAGAGAACAGAGAAACCTTGTCTTGTAGCTGTTGCCAATGAGGTTGTAGCCCTTTAAGAGACCACACCTTCGGAGAATGCGACTTAAAAATATCCGGGTGACACTCAACCGCTGCGTGTGTTGGGTTTAGCTTCAAAGTCTATTCATTCAAATTTTGGTCTGACGTGGGGGCCAAGTTGTAACTTGTTGTTTTAAGTGCCGATGTAATAATTACAAATTTATAATACTACTGGCAGTTTTAGATGCATTTATATAGCTATTTCAGAAGACTTAAACTTGAAATTTTGCCGGGGTAGCATGCCCCCGGAATCCCTCGTTTTCTCACGCTCACGCTACAGAAAGGTTTATGTAGCTTTGAAATGCGTTCGCACGTCAAGGATAGATTCCTTATTGAATCTGGTACCTTTGTACACTTTCGTGTCTGAGAATGTGGTTTCTATCTCTGAGATTTCAGCCGTGAATTTGATCGTTGGGTGAATACTGTTTGCCTTTACAAGGAAATCCTCTATTTTGTCTCTGCTTGTGTTCCACATAGATATGACGTCATCGATGAATCTTTTCCAAAAAATTGGTTTTGTGGTGCTTTTTCTGAGTATTTCTTTTTCTATTTTGGCCATAAATATGTTAGCAAAAGCTACGGCTATTTTCGTCCCCATGGCTGTTCCATGAGTTTGGAGGTAATCTTTTCCATTGAATCTTGTAGAATCAGACTTGGCATTTCTCTTAAATACCTGGTAGGAATGGGAGGGTTTTCCTCATAGAATTCTTTGTATGCTTCGCATACAGTTGTGATACCCTCCTCCTGGGGTATGTTCGTGTAGAGGCTGGTGACGTCCACTGAGGCAAATTGAATTTCCATTAATTAACTTGAATTCAATTTCCATTGAGTTATAACTTCAGTTTAACCGACTGCACTCCTTAACTTGGACATTGTGTATCAAAATGCGGATCTTTGGGGCCTGTGGGGGGTGCGAACGCACCCCGTGTACCCCCCTGGTTACGGGCCCGTTTCCGGTCCGATTTCATGTTTTATTTCTTGTCTGATTTCATGTTTGATTTGTTTGTCTTGTTTCTTGTTCGATTTCATTTTTTATTTCATGCCCGATTTCATGACCTTTTACTTGTCCGATTTGATGTCCGATTTTTTGTCCGACTCTTTGCTCGTTTTCTTGCCAGATTTCTTTTCCGTTTTTGTGTCCGATTTTATGTCCTAACTTCTTGTCCCATTTGATGTCTGATTTTTTTTTCCATTTCTTGTCCGATTTTTTCACAGGCGGCTCAAACTCTGTCGGAACTCGTTCACTGGATTTTAAATTTATAAGAGAATGTATGAAAAAAAAAAACAAAATACGTCATAAATTCCATTTTTTGACGAAAATACAAATAAAAATGACTTACCTTGTGTTTTTGTCTTGTTTTTCACTGTCTCTTCGCCCCTAGAGCCATTTGGAAGCCGTTTTATCGACGTTTGAGATTTTGAGTGGTACTAACAATAGGCCGAAAAATTGGCTTGTTCGATTTTTTTGTCCGAGTTCTTGTCCGATGTTTTTCCCAAATGTTATCAGACTTCTTTTCCAATTTCTTGTCTGATTTCTTGTCAGTTTCATGTCCGTTTTTGTCCGATTCCTCGTTCGTCTTATTGTCCGTTTTTGTATGGCGTCTAGAAAACGACGACCTAGAAAACGAAGTTGAACTGAAGTCAAAGTTGATAATAGTTTAATTAGACGACGAGTAGTCCCCATTTTTCCTCAGGGACAGTAGAGCGAGCGAAACTCAAGCGCTCGTTAAAACCACCCCCACGAGAAAGGCGAGACGCGTGATTTCCACGCTCGCTCGCTCTACTATCCCTGAGGAAAAATAGGGACTACTGTTTATTTCACTACTTTGATTTTTTTTTGTCTGGGTTTTCCATAATTTTTTCTCAAACTTTACATAAACCTGCACAGTTTCATCTAGGAGACTGAGGTAGTTTCTTCTTCAGGTTTCTTTATCATTGTGGGAAGTACAAAAGAAACTGGCCATGAGTCCAAGCAAGTCTATCTCAGTGCACAAAGTATCACAATTTTTTCAGGTTAAACTTGTTCCTGCTTTGCATTACTGTCATTAAACTTATTAAAATGACTACAACGGTAACGCTCTCTTATGTGAAAATGACCTCCTGAAACCAACCAAGATTTTGAAAATGATTCCCAGCAAAATGGCTGCCTCCTCCACCCACCCCCCCCCCTCCACAGGTAATAATGACAAGCCCCCTGGCCTATGGCTCGTTCTCTACCAATTCCCACAGAGTATAAAACCTAACCATAGCCTGTGAATAAAGCCATCCTACTTGCTCCTTGTGTTGCTATGGAAATTTCGTAGAAGAGACATCATTGCCACTGACAATAACTGAAATGTCATTTTGATAATGTACTTACAAAATTTTAATTAGAGTATAGGAGTCGTGTTTGAGTTTTCTTTTGGTCTATTATAATTATAAAGTTTTGAGTTCTTCTACAAATGAGCAGCAGCAAATGCTT